GATTTAGGATCTGGAGAAGATGGGTTGTAGGAGGAGTGGATCTTTTCTAGATCTTCCTTTGATATTGGGATGTGGTCATCAACTTTGCCAAATCCTTGCCGCTTCAACTCGACGATTGCCGCCTTAAAAATTTGATTTGACTCAGAGAATTCGCCATCACTTGTTATGTCAAATTCTCTTTTTAGGAGAAAGACCAAATCGTATTCCCATCAAAGAAGACTTTTTGTAGCTGTCTCCGTTCTGTTTCTTTGTGTTCGGCCAGAAATTCGCCAGAAGTTCATCCAGTTCCTTCTTCGGAATTTTTTCTAGCATTCTGTATTTTTTACCCGCTCATCTGGTTTAACTTCGTTCCAGTATGCCAGGAATGTAACAACAGCGTTCTTAGTTGCTTTTCTCGTATTTTCAGAATCTTTACCTTCAATTAAGTTCTGTATTTCTTCCTCTAATAATCTAGAAAAGCGTTTTCTTTTAGCCTCACTGGGTTCAATTATCAATCATCGCTGGTTGAAACTGAAAACTGTAGTGTTGTCAGGTCCGTCCCCGTCAATCAAACTGACGTGAGCACGTACTGAAGATCATGCCAATTTTTCGTTAGTCATGCACTGATCAAGTGCTGTTTTATTCGGCGCCCGGGCAACAACTGCGCAATTGTATCCCGCTCGGGATACATTTGAATTTGTTTAGGGGCACGTGACCAAGAATCAACCAATCACTCGTTTTGTTGAATGAAAGTCTGGGTATATAACAATAGTCATTATTGTACATTGTAGTCACCATCTGTCTTCTCATTGGCTAGAAGCCTGCAGTTAATTCTAGGAAACAGCGCGACCTACAGATTATTCACTAATCTGCTAGCAGATTAGTAAATAATCCGTAGGTTGCGCGCGCTATGCATGATTTCCAAGAGCAATGTTAAGTTTACGTAATAACATGGCTTGTTGAAAATTGAATTAACTGTGCTCAGTGCGTTTGTCGGTATTTTCTTTAAAACAATGTATAATAAAACATTTATGAGAATCGGTTTTTGTAATATCCGAAATAATCAAAGTCTCGGTTACTGTTATCAGCCGAAGCCTTCGGCTTCGGCTGATAACACTTACCTCGACCTTAATTATTCCGGATTTTACAAAAACCTCATCCAATAATTGTTTATAATTGAACTTTTCATTATCGAAAGAAGTGCTGCAGCTGCTTCATAGACTGCGAAAATGTCTTCTTATGTTACGGTAAAAAAACAAAGACCCTTATAGACCCTTTTAATTAATGCCTACGTATTCTGAGTTTAAATAGCCAATCAGAATGCGTGAAAAAAGTTATCCACTGGTTTGGTATATACTACTAGTAATAATTAAACTTTGTCAGTGACGCACCTTCAGTTTACGCTTGGTAAGCTTGCCAACGTTACCAACAGGATAGATTACCGCAAAATATCGTTCAGCGGCAATTGCAACCAAAGTGATCACCGAGGAGGTTCCAGCAGTCCATGCGAGGTATCCACCCGTCACTAATTTGCATAAAACAGTACCAATTGTTCCTCCTGGGTGGGTGGGAATGATCTTGAAGAAAGTCTGTGGTGTAACAAAGGTCGCATACAAGGCATCCGCTACAGCCAGGTTCACAAGTAAATAGTTGATGGGAGTCCTGTGGAATATCATAAATCAAGAGAGCACGAAGGGTAAGATAGTTAGTTCTTCTAATAGACCTTATCACAACGGTAATCCCTCTTAAATTATTTTTAGACGACGTCAGGCTTCGGGAACCTCAGGAGGGACTAGAGAAAGGCAGTTCCCTCACCTGGACGGCGCAAGCAGCTTCACATTAGTTTTCATCCTCCATGAAAACTTCCATGTTACACGCGTAGCGAAATTAATCAGAATTAGGTTCCATGTCTTAAAGTAACTTGAGAGGGATTACCTTAAGAATAAGGCCTATATCAAGGACTTACTCTCTTACTCTTTATCCTCTCTTGCATAGCTTCAGAAGAATGGCTGAACAAGATAGGAGCATGGTGATATTATCTACATGTGCGTACATAGAAGAGCTGTGGGCATTAGAAATATTGCTTGGAGTTTAACTGCTGCAATGGACTTTCGTCTTAAGGAAAACCTAATTTTAAACATTCTGGAATTCGCTATTATGTTATTAATTTAAAAAAGTTTATAATTTAAAACAGTTGAGTTGCCTGAGTTGAATTTCTTTATAGTTCTCTTAAACGTTCTTCCATGTTCACATCAGGCGATGTAAATCTCAAGCTAACCAGTTTCTATTTCATTGTCATATAGAGTTGTTGTGTAAGCCTTCAGTAGTAGACATAGTAGACATATACAGAAGAACACTTAATACCAAACAGTGAAAAAAGAACACGTAACAGCCATGCTTTTAAATATAGGATGCCAAAAGTATCTAAGGACGTTTTTAAGTTTTCTTTTTTTCTTAGATCAATAACAGAGTGGAACTCACTGCCCGCCGACTTAGTAAACTGCAAGTCATTATCTGATTTTAAATTAAATTTAGGGAAGTATGTGAAATAAGTAAAGTAAATTGTACCTAGGAATTACTATTTATTTATCGTGTTATTTCGACACATTTACTATTACCTAACTTATGCATATACATATACATACATATATATATATATATATATATATA